TATGCGCAACGTGTGGAACCAATTGAGACATGAATGCTCTGAAAACTGTTCAGAATCTTAGCTTATTGTTGTTGAAATACTGAACTTTTACGATAATTTTTAAACGAATGCCATGGTCTCCCTCAAGCACACCAAGAAAATTGATTTTGGATTTTGACTTGAAACTTTCACAATAGACTACTCTCGTTAAGACCTGTCTCTGTACATAGTTTCAAGTTGAAATTCGAAAATCACTTTTCTTGGTGTTCCTTAGAGAGACTACCCACACCCTCTGCTGAAGTAACTCTCTATATACCATTCAACAGCACTTTTCAAACGTTAGACAGGCATATATTTTTCAAACTCAACGGACACTGGTCATCTGAGTATTCTCAAGTAAATTATTTACTAGACATGACTTTGTAGCTTTTTGACATGTATTTAGCAGATTTTTGGTCAAAATTCTACCATTGAAACCAAAACTAATAACAAATCTGAAATCAGTACGAAAAACTGAATCGACTTATGTCTATTTCAAATGTTTTCACACATTTTTTTTTTCGTCGAAAAATTCAGACGAAATTCCTCAGGCTTCAGTAAAAAGATGAATTCCAGTAAAATGTTGCTTGGGCAGACGAGATTGAGGTGAAAGCTTATAACATATTACTAGAACTTAAAATACCAGATGCGTAAACAGTAAAAGAAGCAATTTGGTGTAATTCATTATTTTTTACTGAAACCTGAGGGAGCCCGTCTGAATTTTTCGACGAAAAAAAAAATATGCGTGAAAACATTTGAAATAGACATAAGTCGACTCAATTTTTAATGCTGATTTCAATTTTGTTTTTGGGTTTAATGATAACTTTTTGACTAAAAATTTGCTAAATACATGTCAAAAAGTCGCAAAATTATGTCTAGTGAATAATGTGCTCGAAACTACTCAGGTGACCAGTGTCCTTTGAGTTTGCACAATATATGCTTGTCTAACGTTTGAAAAGTGCTTTCGAATGGTATATAGAGAACTATTTCAATCAAACCTTATGGATCTCCGTCATTCGAGAAGTCAACAAGCAGTACCGAATTTTCAGTTAACATCCCACTAATCAGTAATGAAGTAACAAGTAAACGACGGTAATAAGCTGTTATACTAGATCTTTTTCTTATAGTCAGTGTGGGAGTTAAGACTATTTTTCAAAAAGTTGATCAGTTATAACTCAAAAGTTAAAACTCGAGTTATAACTTTTGACTTTTAACTTCCAACTTTGTAGTGGTTAAAACACCTCCTTCGGAAAGTTGAACAGTTATAACTCAAAAGTTATAACTCGAGTTATAACTACCCTAATTTTAACTCCCATACTGCTTATAGTAATTGATGCAGAATTAAATGCTCTATCGAATGAACCCAATCTGAAATGAAAGTGGTATTGCTGTAGAAAGTTATTAGCAAGTTATCTCACAATATTGATGATACTTTCGACGATGAGGAAGTAAGGTTAGTATTTATAGTCTTTATTAGCCTTGATGTTATCGAATTAATCTGAAATTCCTACGAACCAACCAAACGACTCAGCGTAAAATTCTGCATGGGATCATACATAAATTTTAATAATCTAAGTGATGAGCAGATTTATAATCTTATGCGTTCCCATTCTTTGCAGCAAATAAGCTAAGACTCCGAATTCTTTTTAGGCTATTCAAAATTCATGTGAGTCTACACGATGCACATAGTCTCGACTTAAAAACAACTAATCATTTGAGAGACTTCTCTTGTAAGTCTATCAAAACTTACTTAACACGACGTAATTTACTAGCACATGGTTTACCACTTTTAAGATTATATTGAGCATAGAATTCAACTTCATCACCGGCTCGTAATTCAAATCCAGCTTCAATTTCTGAATTATGAAAAAAGATTTTTTTATTTTCTTCACATGCAAAATCAATAAAACCAAACTAAAAAACAAAAAATAAAAAGAAAGAAATTTTTTTTTAAACGAAAAAAAGAAAACAAAGATTAAAATTACCTGTCCTTTAACTGTATCAACTTTTCCTTTACGTATTTCATTTTCTAAAATAATATTCGCAGCACGTCTTGAATAATCAAGTCCAATAGCAATCGAAAATGTTACTGAATCATTTGGTAATAAAATAACACGTTTATTTTTAACACCTGTTATACTATATGTATAACATTCACCTGGCATACCATCATCAGTTATCTTTTGTATTCGACCTAATATTTCACATTCATCATTGGATATCATTCGGACAGGAGATACAACACGACCACGATGAACTGTTGGAAGAATTGACTATGAAACAAAAAAACAAAATCTTTACTTATTCATTAATGAAAATAAAAAAGTTTTCTTACATAGAAATTATTAATAGTTAATGATACTTTAAGAATATTTTCAGCTATTAAACGACCAGATATTTTTCTTAAACTAAATTCAACTTCATCACCTAATTCAACTTGTATATTATCACCCGTAAATGCATTCATAGAAAATGCAACTGGTTCAATATTACCCATAGTATTACTTTGTTCAATAAATCCTTTGCCTTCACGAAGAATTGCAATCCAACCATGTATACGATTACGTTCAATTAATGTTATATTAAAAGCTAAGTTACTATTGGATGTTATACTGAATTCAACCTAAATATTAAAATGAATATGTTTTTTTTTCAAAATACTTTTAGTATTACTACGAAAGAAATCATTTCAGAATAGTTCAAGGTAAGTTTTTTTTTGTACCTTCACTGAGAAAAATTTTCCAACCCTTACACTAACCTAATGGTGTAACCAAGGGTAGGGTAGGCTAGACGCTGTCCTACTACCAGAAGACAGAAAAATGTAATAATTACTATCATTAACACTTTATTGCATAGACTTTCCTCACGATCTCATGATTATGCCACTACCCTACCCTGTTGGATAGGATAATCCTATATATCTCTAATTTTATAGCCCACAGAGTCCTTCGGGCCCGAAATTTTTGGACTCAATGCGGTCTAGTGAGCTAGTCCTCGCTCCCATTTTTTAAATTGTATCTGAGAAAAGGATGAGCTGTTGTTGGAAAAATGTTTATCAAATCTTTAGTTTCTTTCATTTCTAAAAACTATCGAGACTCTAGTGCATTTGTGTAATTACATGAATTTTGTGCGTTATTGTATATCAATCTAACTAATTAAGAACGATTCTAATCTCAATTGACTAATTCTGATACATTTTAAGAATAACAATTGATATTATATTATAGTTAATTCAACAGTTAAATTCTTACTTTATCTCCACAATATAATGCTGATGTATTACTAAGATTTGTCGACACATATGGAATTGTAGATTCAGTTCCATCATATATATATCGAATAAGACCTTGATCTTGCTGACGATTACTAGATGTTGATAATGAATCAGTACCATTTGTTTGTTGTTGTTGTTTAGTTTCAGATATATCATTTGAACGACCATTTCGTTCTAAATTCAAAATAATAATGGATGATAGAAAAGTTTTTAGATAAGATATTTGGCCACTTTTGATGTACTAGAAAGTATTTTCAATAAACCAAAAGCTATGAGTTCGAACCAGAATTTTGTGTGTTTAATAATTTTATCTCAATTTTTGTTCGAGAGTAGTGAAATAATCTTTGAGAAGACTAAAAAAATTAGTTTGAATTTTTACTATTACGATTTGAAATTAAAAGTTAAGATCTTTATTTATATATCAGCTTGTAGATTTCATATCTCGAAGAATCAATATATTAAAAATATAATAGGTTATTCAAAGCTCAATAGAAACTGAAATCCTTACCTGAAGAGATTTCTTCGTAAGACAAAATTTCTAAGTTCATATTCGAAAAGAGCACAAAATTCTGGTTCTAATTCTTAGCTTTTGACTTGTCAGAAATATTTTCCAATGGGTCAAAAGTGAACAAACATCTTGTCAAAAAAAAACTCTCCGATCATTCGTTAAATAAAACGAATCTTTTCATTTTTTTTTTTTTTTTTTGATATTCAAACCTGATCGTCCATCATTAGCATCACGTTCAACAATACCCATTAATCGTAATTCATGACCATTCATATTTAATAAATTATCTTTTGATATTAATTTAATTCGAATAGCTTCATGTATATCCTATAAATATACAGAAAAAAAATCTATTGAAAAGAAAATAAATAATTATTTAAACAGACTCCATTATTTGAATTCAATGCTAATGTAAATTCTAATGGATCACCTTCAGTTATTTGAAAATTATCTTTCATAACTTCACTAAATCGAAATGATACAATTTGATCTGATGGTAAACATTTAATCTGACCACCTATTGTACTATCTAATTTAATAACAATACCCTAAAAATATACAAAAAATAAATTTTTCGTTTAAAAAAAATACAAAATTTTTTTTACCATTTGTCGTTGTTCTTTTGATTTAAGAAAACTTTGATCAAGTAAAGATATTTGTGTAGCACGCGTCATACCATCACGTTTATCTTTAGCAATAACAAATTGTACAATATCATTTTCAAGTAATGTATATAAACCACAACGATCACGTTCACCAAATGATAATTCTGACATTTTTCTATTTTAATAAATTTAAATAGAAAAATTTATAAGAACAAAATAATTTTTTACTTGTCGATTGTATCATAAAGTAAACGACCAATTAATATATTATCTGATTTTTTTAATTTATTTTGTAATGGTTGTAATATACGACCAATATAAGGTGTTTTATCAATATCATCAAATTCAACTGTACCTTTTGGTAATATAATTATATTACTAGCTACTTCTTTATTCTAAATAAAATGAAAAATTTATTGAATCAAAAACTTTTAATTTTCTAGATCTTTTTTTTTTTAAACATAAGAAATTTATTTCTCACGTAATGAATATATCTAGACATGTAGTAGTAGTAGTACTTCGGTTTTGTTCGGAATAATGAATGGCGCAAAAAAAAAACGATTAATTACACTAAATGTTTAATAATATGTTTGAAAGGATTTTGTCTGAAAATGATTTCTGTTTCATTAAGATTCAACTAACATTTTTAGTTTAACCTCCGCATTCAACTTAAATCAAAATCTAATATATATTTTTTTAATAACATACATGTCGATCTTGAATATCAAATTCTACTTCGACACCTGGTTGAATTGTATTTGTTGCAACATTAGGTCCAAATTCGGTTATATGAAAAAATATTTCTTTAAGTGCATCTTCACGTTCAATAAAACCAAAACTATCTTTCATGGTTGATATAACACCACGATAACGTTTTGTATTTGATGGTGTAGATGGAATAGATTTTTCAATAAGTGCTACATTTCGTGCAAAAAATTGATTTGTACGACGATCTTGACCAACATTAAATGAAACCTTTATATAGAGAAGAATAATTATCATCATGATAAATTTTGGTTTAAATACGAACTCGATCACCAACTTTTACTGGCATTGTTACATCTTGAAGATCAGCAAGGCCGTAGGGTAAAAAATATGTTTCACCCTTTTTGACATAAGTTACTTTACCATCTGGTATAAAATCAAATTGAGGAAACTATAAAAATTAAAGAATTATATATACATATAAAATAACAAAAAAAAAAATTTTGTTTTTCTAATTACTCCATTATTTTGTAATTGTTGTTGTCGTGCAACTACTGCAATAGTACCTTCTACACGATTTTCACCAATTATTTCTGGACTAGCAGGTATAATATTAACAGCAACTGGTTTTTTTTTTCGTTTATCAATTGTTGTTTCAAATTCGACGACATCTAGTGTTTTTTTTTTGTTTTATTTAAATAAATCTCTTAATTAATATCAATTTATTTTATTCTTTTACCTCCTATTTTAGCTTGATGAATATCAGTTTTATATTCACTAAAGTGGAAAAAATAACGTCCATCACGATGACAACAATAAACAAAACCATAAGTTGAACAAAGTTTTTCGATAATACCCAATTCACGTTGTGCTTTTATTGGCATCATATCATCATTTGTATTTATAGTATTCATTGATGTTGTTAATAATTTACTATTCGTTCCTCGTTGATAATGATCTAATTGATTGAATCATAGGTAAAAAAAAAATCTTTTTTCGTATTCTTATTTTTTTTCTTTCTTTCTTGTTCTTACCATGATTATGATATAGTTCGGTTGGTACAGATGTCATTGTAACAAGAAAGAAAAAAGAAACACGCGATGAAAGACAAGATCAAACGAATATGAACAAGAAAATGAGAAATAAAACAAAAAAAAAGACAGAAAGAAAGAAAGAAAATAAACTACGACTATACAAATCTAAAATATTTAATAGAGAATATTTAATGTATGATTGAACAATAATAAATATATTTATTGGATAATGATTCATAAACTTTTAAATAAATACATAATATATACAATAGATAAGAAAATTCTATGTATAAAATAAATTTAAACATACTAACACTATAATACATAGTTTAATTGCGAAGAAAAATAAAGAAATAGCGAAACACAATCGACATCAGCTGCTGCTGTTTAGTTCTAAATATTTTAATTGGTTCTTTGAAATAGACTAATTATAAATAAAATAATAGATTTTTTCAAATATTATCAAGAACTTATATTTTACTTTGGAAAACTATTTCAACAAGAACACATGTTAAGAAAATCTACGTCCTTTTGTAACACATGTACCTTATTACAATAAATAAACATATGAAAGATGTCTCTAATCGCTTAAATATCAATAATTCTCTTAGCAAGATTAATGCAAGTATTTAGTAGATATCAGATCTGAGCATGTCAAGTGTTTTTCAAATCCATGACGGATTTAAAGAGAAACATCAGGAGTGATTGTTCTATTCGTCCGAAATATTTTTCGACCTTTCTCAGCAAACAATACTCAAAAATGAGCTGCCACAATCTCTAATGAACTTCAAAACAGGTTCTATGACTATGATCGATCGGTTTTTTTTCAAAACCCTAGATCCGCTACTGTTTCAAGTCATGAGTCAAGCTCCCGAGAAGATAAGAATAGGCAACAAGAGGGAGCAAATCATTTTATGCTATTGGGATAAAATACAGTCAGTGCTTCTTTTTTCTTACTCACTTTTTATGTCGTATAAAGTTAGTACGGTTCAGAAAAAAAACTCGTATCTAACATCAAAAAATGTATATTTCGAGGAACACGCTAATATTTGTCTAAAAACTTTTAAGCCTACGATACCTAAATCTAGGATAGGCTCCATCGCCTATAATGTCTGATTATTAAAAAAAAATCATTAGAGCTGGGCAAGTCAGACTTGACTTACATTCAAAACATTCTACTCCAAGAAATCTTGTATAATAAATGAATACATACATCGTGTTTAAGAAATGCTCTGACATTTTCTCACAAACAGCATATAACGACAGTTGATGATCCTAAAACATAGCGCTAAACATTCGATGGTGATCGGTTTTTTTTTTAATAAAAAGAATCTTCATTAGAATCGATCAAAAAGTTTATGATAGTCAGATACAAAACTGTGTAAGATAGAAGATTAGACAGTAAATTCCTATAAGATCGTACCTTGGATGCTCTAAGATCAGGCAAAAAATTATCGTTTCAGAAATCTAACATTAAAGAGAGAATCTCTTCAGATTCCTCCTTTCGATTTCAATGATTTTTTGCCGATAGATACTACATAATTATTCTAATAAAAATTTTAAAGGACTTTTGGTTTCTATTGAGATTTAATTAAGCTATCGAATTTTTAATATGTCTATTGTCTAGAGGCTCTATGATTTCGGAAAACTCGTGTTTTCGACTTTTGATCTGAAATTTTGCGCATATAGAAAACTCAACTATAAAAAAATACATGTTGTATACAGTATCCATGGAAAAAGATCTTTATCTTGAAGAAACTTTGTTCAAAAGTTCTGAATTTTGTTTTTTACGAAAGCTAATCTAGTTAAATTTTCTATATGCACAAAGTTTTCGATCAAAATTCGAAAATACGAGTTTTTCGAAAACTTGGATCCTCTAGAAAATAGATAAATTTTAGTCAAATCTTAATAGAAATCGAAATTCCTTTAGATTTTTTATTAGAATACTATGCAATATGGCAAAAAAATCATTGAAATCAGAAGGCAGCATATCACTATAAGATTATAGGAAATCTTATATGACGAGTAAGATCTTTCGATATTTTTTGACTTGCATACAATAAGATTTCACATATCATTCTATACGAAACATTAATATTCATATAATATTATCTTTTTTTTGTCTTTACTAAATCATATCTCAAATATACATTGTAAATAATCGTTTTAAATAAAATATACATACATATGAATATCCATGATTATGTAATATATATTTTCATGTATAGAACAAAAAAAAAACCATATACATATATGGCTTCATAAGAAGAACTACGTAGTTATCGCATGTATTTTACAATCGATCGTTTTCTTTTTCTTATTTTAATCTGTATATGCTAATGATGATAATTATTCTTATCGTATTAACCTGTTGTATACGATTAAATTCGTCACGGATAAAAATGTGCATATTATGTACGACGATATATATGTATATATATATATATATATTATCGATTGATAGGCAAATCTAATCATTTTACGGATCATAATCAATAAATAGAGATTACTCTCGTATTATCTGAATATAATTACAATATAAAATATTCTAGTTTATATTACATTAAACATATATATGAAAATATAATGTTTAATCTTCCACCACCACCACGATTTACTCTTCCACCTCCACCAAAATTTCCATCAGATGTATTTGATATAAAAATTCTTCTTCAATTAACTTGTTCATCAATTCAACAAGAACAACAACAGCAAATTAATCTTCATTTGGTAATTATTAGTTTTATTATTATCATTATTCTTGCAATTTTTCTAACTCTATTATTTATATATATTCAATTTTATTATCGACGAAAATCTTTCAAAAATAAATTTGTCTCAAAATCAATAACTACTATTCCAAAAGATATATCAATCTATAGAAATTATTCATATGAAGCTATCAATTATAATATGTATCTTGACTCAATTAATTCATCAGAAACATTTTTATCAATAAATCCAAATCATATTATTTATAATCAATGTCATCAAATATCTTCTCATCCTTCATATTATTATACTATTCCTTAAGATTTATTTAGTTAATGGAAAAATTTTAACAGTGACTATTTTGTTTGCTTTGTCGGTATTTACAAAAAAATAAAATAAAATAAAATAAATATTTGATTGAATATCAAAAGCAAAAAATCAAAAAGTTTCATCATCTGATAAAACAGGAGAAACAATTGGTTTTTTCTTTTTCGATCTTCGTTTAGTTTTTTCAACACTATCTAATACATTATTCATTAATTTTGAAGTTTTTGTTCGTTTTTTAGATTTTGATACATTTCTTTCTGGAATAGGAGTATCATTATTATCATCATCATTATCTTCAGATAGATTTAATTCATTAGATTGTTCTTTTGCTTCTTGAGTTTTTTGTTTAAGTAAATCAATTGAAGATTTTAATCGTGTATTTTTTCTTAATTGATTTGAAGTACCTTCGAATAAAACTGGAGCAAAGAATGAATCAATTCGTGATTGAATCTAAAATTTATAAGTAATGAATGACAAAAACTCAATAAAAAAAAACATGAAACACAAACTTCTTTTGTATTCATTCGTTTAATAACAGGTAATATCATATCATCAATTTTTTGTCGATCCCATTTAAGTTTACTTCCTATGAATCTATCAAAAAAAAAGAACAAAGTAAATTGATAATGAATTAGAAGAAAACAAAATTTTTAATTAATTTACTCTCGAATTAATTCAAGTTGTGGCATAGCCCATGTAAATTTCGATTGATCATAATCAATTTTTGGTGTATTATAAGCATCATAAACAGCTTTATTTGGAAAACCTGAATAGAAATTAATTATTATTCTTTACTTAAATTAGAAGAAAATCAATCTGATTTTTTTTTTATCAAACACAAATTTTTCGTCGGTTTGTTTACTGTACTTGCTGAATCTTAACGAAATTAGGTCGAGGATGAATAACTATCGAGTGTAAGATAAATACAGACTCGGATTTTAAGTTTTGTCACCGACTAGATACAATCCGTCTGTCTGTCATGTCTTTATATATTAATTATCAGTAAAATAGAAAAAAAAGTTTAGATAGATGGTTTTATTTTTTTATATAATGAAATCTAACATTTTGTACTTTAATGTCGTCCAAAGATTCCTTTTTCTTAACCTCTCTCAAAAGTCAATCTTAGGTCAGATACATTCGAATTGCACAGAATTACTACGACATACTGAGACTATGCTAAAGTTTTAAGCCCTATAGCATGATGTCTTCAAGAGATATTCATGATATAAGAATTCCAAACCGCTCTCATTCGGTAACCCTAAATTCTGAGTGAGTCGCTTGACAGAGTTCTATTTTGTTTAAAATCTTATTTTTTATACGAAGAAAAAGGATGACAAGCTCAATAAAAAAAATTATATTGTTTATGAAATATCTATCTTAATTTCGATTAATCTGAATAGAAATGAGCTTAATATTTTCAAACAAGATTTTTACCTTCAAAAAGTTCTAAGTTTTTTAAACGTTTAAGTATTTTCGATTGAGTTTTATATTCTGGTTTTTGAGCTTTTTTCCACCAACGTCTAATAAAATAGAATAAAAACAAATATATATATAAAAACAAATTTCTTTTTAAAATAATTTTTACCGAAATTTTTCTAATCGTTCCATACATGTTCCATGAAATTCTTGTAGAATTTCTAAAGCTGTCATAATACCAGCATTTGGAATACCTTTTGTATAATCCGAACCAACAATCATACCAATAGCAATCATTGTTTCTCGATCTAAACCTAAATTACAAAGCTAAGTTTTTTAATTCAAACTTTTTTCTTTTCTGTTTTTTTTTTATACCTAATTGATTTGAAATTATTGTCGAATCATAATATTCAACTAATTGATCTTGACGAAAAAAATGTCGATAAACATGTGATGCACCAAATAACCAAACATCACTATCATCTGTGATAACTCCATCACATTGATTTGATAAATCTAAATAAGCACATTGTGCTTCAGCTTCTGTTGGACTTACGAGATATGGAATACCAAATAAACGAAGTAGATACTAATAAATAAGATAAAAACAAAAGATAAAATCTTTTCTTTTTCTTTTTTTTTTCATTACTTGCGTATCTTCATGCATTGTATCTGTCAGTGTTAGTGTTAAACGTTCATTACCACGAGCTGTTGTTAATTGAATAGCTATATCATCGATTAATTCTGCTTCAAGTTGATCTAATGTTTCCTAAAACAAAAAGAAAACCAACCAATGATTTTTCTTTGCCATGAAATTCTTCTTACAGATTGAGAAAGTAATGATTGATTAATCTCAGCATTGGGTTGATCTTTATTATTATTAATAAACATTTTAATATCTTCGATAGCTGTACTATTATGACTACTTTCATCATCATTATCAAGTTCTATAAATTCAGACGATGTATTATTATTTGTTTCAATTATATCATGACTATCATCAATAATAAATTGTGGAAGAATAATTGGTTCACTAGATTTTGGGAATGTTGGAACATCGATAAAAGCAGATTCTGTAGAAGAAAAAAAGGAAAATGAATATTTTATTTTTAAAAGACAGGACATGCATAAGGACCATCCTTAATTCCCTTAAGATGTGGCACTACAACTAAGCAAAAGTCCAATTTTTCAATTTTCTCTTAGCTCGTGTTTTTAGAAAATTTCTCTGATGAAATATGAAAAACCCAAGGGGTATAGGTCCAGAATAGTTAGTTTTTCTTTTTCTATAAATATTAATGAATAAATCGAAAAATCCGGCTCTACTAAATTGTAGTGCCACATTTTGAGACTAAGCCAAGGTTTCTAGCATTTAAAATAGCGGAGAAATCTGGGACACACGAAAACGTAAAAATCAAAAATCCTATTTTAAATCTCATCATAATATCAATAAACTATAGTGCATTCGAAAATAGACATTTTGTTCTATCTAACGAGCTATAAATCATAAAATCGATAAATTTGATCAAAATTGACTTTTTTTTTCGAGTCTCTTACGTTCACTTGTTGACTGAGTCTTGAGGAAGGCTCAGTTGAATTTTTTCGACATACATATAAGTTGAATCAGTTTTTTATGTTGATTCCATATACGTTATATGTTTTGACTCAAACCTTACTTTTTTTCAATCAAAATCTGTTAAAGATCGGTGACAAAATGGTGTCTAAATGGAATTCAAGTCATCTTTTTTTTAAACAAAGAATACTTCTAAAGAAATCCAATAATATTTGGTTTTGTAGCCATTTTAGCGAGTCTTCAGAATCAATAAAAAATTCATGATGTTTTTTTTCTTTCTCGACATGTTAAGAAAATAGTGATCAGAAGTTATTTCATGCTCATGTGAAACAATATTTACGTTATTACTTAACAATACTTCAATCGTTCGAGGCTGAAATTTGTAGCAAGGAAAGTGATCATGTATGAAACGTGAACATGAATAATTTGAGTAAAAACAGATCTGGATCCTTCCGAGATTACCCTATTTTGTTACCAAACGATCTCTCATGAAATTCTGTATTAGATAAACTATGAATGGAGGCAAACTGAGAATGGTCCATATGCACTTCTGTTCTTTATTTATTTGATGTTACCATCTGAATCAGAAGAAGATTCAATTGTATTTGATATATCATTATTGTTTTCATTGATTAATATTTGTTGATCTTCTAATGATCTTTTAATAGCTATTTCTAATGCTATACGTTCTTCATCATTTTCTCTAATAAAATTTTCTTCAATAAAATTTTCATTTATTGGAGATTGTTTTTTTTGTTCAATTTGAATATCTTGTTTAACATTTTGTTCTTCTTCTTCTTCTTCTTCAGTAGATGATGATTGATAATCATTAATTTTATTTATAGAATTTATTTCAATAGTTGTATTTCGTTGTTGAACTAATCCAATAACAGGATCTCGATTTATTAAATTATTAACACAAAAATCACTTGTTGATTGACGACTAAGAGATGGTGATGATGTTGATGAGATTCTTGATAGATTTGTTGGTGTAATTTTTTGTGTTGTATCCGGTTTGATAAGAATATATTGTGTACTAGAATCTGATGCTAATTTACCTGCAAAAACTTTAGCATTTGATTCTAATGGAATATCTAAATGAAAATAAGATAAGAAAGAATGTAACAAAAAAAAAAAAAAGAAAATATAAGATTTATTTCTACCAAATTTTTGTCGTTTAATAACTTTATTAAGTGCAAGAATTTTTTGTGAAACTGTATTTTGTTTAAGTAATTTTTGTACTTGATAATCGGAGAAATCATCACTTTTCTACAGAGAAAAAAAATAAGTTGCTGTTTGTTTTTTTTTTTGGTATTAAGGGAGTGATATTAATACTTGAGGCATATCGTCAATATGTTGTTGACCACGTTTAAGACTTTCTTTTATATCACTCTATAATAAAATTTAAAAAAAAATCAAAACATTTTAATTTTTTGTTTTTCTAATATTTTACTAGAATTTCATGTTGCATTTCAACAGGTAAATTATAAAGTGCACTATCATCCATTTCATTTAACTATACAACAAAAAAAAAATTTATATGAAATTTAAAAAAGAAAAGTATTCTAACATTAGGTACAACATAATGGTAATTAGTATTATTATCTAGTCGTTTTTTTAACCATGTTGTTCGTTGTCTTTTTAATTTAGTTACTGGTTGAAATTCAGTATTTTCTATAAGTTCATTATCATCATCATCATCATCTTCTCTAAAGAAGAAAATAAAAGTATTATTAAAATTTTTTTCTTTTAAATCTTAAATTATTTACTCTTTATCATCATCGACTAATTGTGAACGTAAATGAGTATCTGGTAATTCAAATAAATCTTTTTCACGATCTTCATTTGGTGCTGGTGGTAATGATTCAACTAAAATTAATATATTAAACATTGAAAATGATAAAAAATTAAAAGGTTTTCTTAACGAAGTAAGATCGTACAAAAATTAAAGAATGTGAACGTTATTGTTACTATGGATGATTGATTGATTCATGTTGTTATTTCCGTTTTGCATGCGTAAAGAAATATTAAATATCGTCAATTGATCTACTGTGATCTCTAGACTAAGATTTGTTTAACAGTATTATATTAGCGGTAATGCATCAGGTTCGGAATTTTTGGACCCGAATCGCACTTCTATTTTCAACGAACTTTTTTAATCTAACGAGGGAACGTTTCCAAGTGTAACTCGCCAATCAAACTAATATTTTGCTAATAAATAGGTGCCGACGAGATCAGAAGATACCTATAAAGATTTGTTATCATGCGTTGTCCTTCTCCATGTCTTTACAATTTCATGGAATTTTTATCTCTAGCAAAGTGTTCGTCAAACAATCGAATTACGAAATTTTTCGCCATAAGTAGGTCCCGTAGGCCTCAATTGAATGCTCTGAAAATTTCAGTCTAAAGTGATGTGTTCTTCTTAAGATATTGAATATCTAAAAGCAATCATATATCATAAAGAAAAGTAAGAAAGTCTAGTGTTTTTAGCATTCGATATCTTAGGAATAACACAGTCATTTAAGCTGAAATTTTCAGAACGTTCTAAAGTCCACTAGATCTACTTATGGACAAAATATCATTTCGATTGACAAGTATCCTGTATTCGCATCTCTCCGATCATTTTGACGATGGTCTCTATCTGTGCTATTTTATATAACTAACTTTCGATTAAAATAAGTTCATATCAAGTGAGAGAGTACTCGTTCAGAAAGTATTCCTATACAAATTTTGATTTTTAATCTTAATACTACCAATGATGAATTGCTCAGATGAATTAGAATTGTTATTACATAGCTATTCTAGAGCAAAAAGCACTAATTATCAGCTTTCATTCATATGAAAGAATTCGGATAATTGGAGTTAATTTATTTACTTGATATGACGCTATCATACGTCGAGATACACATCTATTCAAAATTTCAAACACTCGTCATTTTGAGATAAATACAGAAATAAAATACTGATGTAAACGTATTTTTGGATTTAAAAAAACAAAAGTATATACTCACTTTCTTCGCCTCTTAATTGTTGAATAGCTAACATTTTTAAATAATTTGTTCGTATTTTATTTTTTGCTTCTTTGGCTTTTGTTGCTGCTACTTCTCGTCGTTGCCGTCGTTCAGTCCAAAAGAAAAAAGAGAAAGAAACGAAAAGACAATCATCATACAAAACTATTCCTAATTTTCATACGTACCATTGTTCGTCGTTTTAATTCTGGTACTCCACCATCAAATATAAAAATTGGTTTAATTTTAAAATGTAATAATTTACAAATACGATGTAATAATAAAAGTATATGTGGATTTTGTCTATCACGCATGCCTTTAGCTGCTTGATGAAGCCAAATACTAACATCTGTTTGAAACAAGTATAGAAATACAAATGAATTTAAGTTTTGTCTCTTTTTAATATTCTTACCAATAGCTAAAACTTTTCCTTCTAAACCTTTATTCATATTAACCGGTCGACCGGTTGATTCAATTAATTGCCAAAAATTTTGTACTCCCATTTTTTTTCTATAAAATCAATAAAATTTCTCTTTTTTTTTCTTCTTTTCTTTGTCAAAAAAAAAGTTTTTTTTTGATCATCATCTGAGATATTACATAAAAATAAATATCAAGAACGAAAAAAAGAACAACGTAAAGATATTAACGTATACATATACGATTAATATTTTTAAAAAATCTTTATTTACACGTAGTAATAAAATGATGAAGATTCTATCTAACTGCTCGTGTAAATTTAGAAAGAAAAAATTTAACACAATAATGTAAAACTAACTCAAATTAAGTTGAAATACACAATTATTTTTTTGTTCTTCATGTTCTTGTTTACCAATTGAACATAATTGTAAAGAATGAATTGTTTGTTTACCAAAATTAATTTCTTTAGTTTCATTTTGATATATAGACGAAAATTTTCGTTTACATTTAAGTAATGTTATATGTGGAATAAATTCATAATAATTTCCAGCAAAAAAAACATTATTTATATTTTGTTTTTGTTGTTCTTCACTAAAACGTTGAACAATTAATGAACGTAAATTTTCTAATCGTTGATTTTTTTGACATTTTATATATAAGATTTTATCATAAAATGTATCTATACCATTAAATTCTAAACAAATATCTTCTGGATATGAACAATGATGATGAATTTCATTCTGAAGACATTTTAACAGTGTTATACATTGTTCAATTTGTGATGATGTATCAATATGTAATGTTAATAATGTTAAATGAAGATTCGATGAAGTTGTATGGGAAGACAAAAGTGATGGGTAAGATGAAAGTAAACGTTCTTGATATGCAATATAATTAGTAATAAATGTTTGATCTGTAATAGGTATCGAAAGAAAATAATTTGGTTTATATGCACCATCAGTTATTGTTAAATAACGTGGTGGAGGAATATTAACATCAACATCTTCGATAGTATCATTATCATTAGATATTCTAATTGATATAGAAAAAAAAAGAAAAAGAAAAAATTTTCAATTAAATATCAATAAAAACTTACGATGATGAATAATTATTTTCCGTGTTATTTTCATGTCTTTTAATAACATCATATATTGTTTGTTGATTTCCAGTTGAACCAAACATTAAATCAGTTCGTGTTTCTTTATCCCAAACAATTTCATTATGATATTTAAAATATTGTATTCGATGTTTGGGTATTGCAAGTACATTTGAATGTCGATCACTCACTGTCGATAAATCAACTTTAAAATCGAAATCATTAAATGATTTTTCTTGTAAACCAAGAAAACGATCAGTATATCCAACACGAAAAAATCGTTTATCAAGACGATCATCCCATTCAATACGTGATATAACATCTTCAGCTGTTTTCATAGAATTTCTTTTTACGTATTCATTATCATGTTCATCAACATGATTATTTCGATTCTGATTATGCACTGGTATCAATGGAATATTCGTTTTACTATTTTTACGTGAGCGTTGAGTAGAAGGCACAAATGAATTTGCATGATTATTGTTATTAGTTGAATTAACTGTTAATGTTTGAATATTATTTTCAACAAACCATTGAAGAAGACGAGAATAAATTAATAAAATCATTGGTTTATTAAGTAATGTTTCACAATAAGATTGAAGAACTTGTTGAATAAGTATTATTTGATCAGGAGTAAGTCGTGGTGCAGTTATTATTATTTCAGGTGCTTTTGATGGATAAAATTCTATGAATATAAAAATAAATTCAAAAAAGAAAAAAGTTTTTTTGTTTGTCGTTTTTCTTTTCATAATACTTACGGTCCAGTTGTAATGTTAATGAAACATCATATTGATCAGGTCGAATTTTTAAAATATAAGAAAATTGTCCAATCGATGATAGAATACGAATATTATCTTTAAAATGATCACGTAATGAACTAATTTCTTCATGTTGTCCATCACTACTGGTTGTATTTTCACTCGTAGTAATCATATGATTATCAGGTTGAACATCAAATGTACCCATATGTTAACAATAATGTCTAATGTTGTTTCTTCTATCAAATGTAGACACTCACCTATATGCAATAAAAAAAAACGAAGTTTAATATAGATATAGAAACTATGTCAACGATGCTAAAGTGCACCAACGTACATCAAGTTAAAAGATAATTCTTCAACCTTTGCACTTTGTTTACTTCAAATGAAAGAATCAATATAAATATACAAACGCAAGAAGAACTTATGACATAATTTCAATTGAATCTGATTAGTTAAATGTTTTTAACCAATTAATTTTTTAAGTATTACTACAGTATTATTCGTTGAAAATTATTACGTAATCATGTGGAAAGTACATTGAATAGATTTTCGATAAGTAATTAAAATTTATCGAAGCTGAAATCGAAAACTAAATGAATTTTCATCTTCTAATTATAGTTTTTAGATCAATATACATCAAGCGACACCTATACATGTCCAATCAGTGGCTTAGAATCAATTGGATTCTTCTGGAATTGCGACAATTAATAATAAGATCGAGAACCAATAGGAATTCAATCACAAACCTTTATGATGATAAAGTTATTCTTTCGAAATAATCTGCTTCAGTGTGTTATAATATACTTTTTTCATTATGTGGTGGTCGAAACATGAATAGAGTCGTATAATCTTAACTAGACAAAATGAAACTATATCAGTCTATTATATATTTATATTTTTTATTTCGTAAAAATAATTCAATATTAATTGTATATTGTATTTCATAGATAAAAAAAAAAACAAAATAAAATGGGTCGACGACCTGCACGATGCTATCGTTATTGCAAGAACAAACCATATGTAAGTTATTTTATTTAAAAATTCATACATACAAAATTTCAATCATATTCATGATTTTATTTCTTTATTTTTTGTTTTTTTAATAGCCAAAATCTCGATTTTGTCGTGGTGTACCCGATCCAAAAATTCGTATATTTGATTTAGGTCGAAAGAAAGCACGTGTTGATGAATTTCCATTATGTGTTCATCTTGTATCTGATGAATATGAACAATTATCAAGTGAAGCACTTGAAGCTGGACGTATTTGTGCAAATAAATATTTAGTTAAACATTGTGGTAAAGATGCATTTCATATACGAATGCGTGTTCATCCATTTCATGTTCTTCGAATTAATAAAATGTTATCATGTGCTGGTGCTGATCGTTTACAAACAGGTATGCGTGGTGCTTTTGGTAAACCATTAGGTACTGTTGCTCGTGTTAATATTGGACAAGTTATTATGTCAGTTCGTGTTAAAGATCAACATAAAGCACAAACAATTGAAGCATTACGTCGTGCTAAATTTAAATTTCCAGGTCGACAAAAAATATTTGTTTCTGATAAATGGGGTTTTACAAAATTTACACGTGAAAATTATGATCGTTTAATGCAACAAGGACAATTACAATATGATGGTGCCAATGTTAAGTATTTACCTAATCATGGACCACTTGCGCATTGGAAAAAACGACAAACCGTTTAAATTGATTTATTTCAATTATTTTGAAAAAATAAAATAACATGAAACAGTTTTATGGAATAAAATCAATATAAAAAGAAAAACAAGAATAAAAGATAAACCACATTATTTATTTTATTTAAAAAATCTTCAATGATCAGATTTTGCTAATAAACTGTTCTTCTACACAAAAGTATACGAAATGTATGTTCCTTATGATAATAGTTCATATATAATACTAATTAATTTACAGATTATGATAAAAGAAGATTTAAATAAAGATTCAAAAAATAGAATTAGTTTTTACTTGTTGTTTGCATACATTTAATAGTTGGTAATAACTGATTATAGAAGATAGGGATACTTTTCTTCCAATTATTATAATTCGTTTAAAAAAGAAACCATTTGCCGTTTTTAACAGAGCTTCGAATAAAAT